TAATTTCTTTCTATTTTTTTTTTTAGTAGAGACCGGGTCTCGCTCTTGCTCAGGCTGGTCTCAAACTCCTGAGCTCAAACAATCTGCCCGCCTCGACCTCCCAGAGTGCTAGGATTACAGGCGTGAGCCACTGTGCCCGGCGAAGGCTGTACCTTTATACAATAAAAATAAAACAAGAAATAGCAAAGTGAAATGTCACAGATAGTAACTGTCAAACTTAGTACTTAAGGAAATCGGACATTTCATACTTGATAACCTAATATCAACACAGGACCTATTTTCTTTCATCAGCTCTATCCCCCAACTCCACTGAATTATTTTAAAGGAAATCACAGACATCATATTTCATCTATAAAACTTCCGTATGAATCTCTGAGATAGACTCATTTAAATAAGTATACCTAAAAATTTTAATAATTTCTTAAAATCATCTAATATCCAGTCATTTTTTAAATTTCCCAGTCTCAAATATATATTTGTCTTTTTATATTTAGTTTGTACAAAATGAAATCCAAATAATTTTACATCTTTTAAATCTACAGTCCTCCTTGCCCTACCTCCTTTTTTTACTTGATATTTACTTGTTGAAGAAACTGGGTCATTTATCCAATAGCATTTTCCATATTCTGGATTTGACAGACAGTATCTCTTCTATGTCTTTTAACACATTCTTCTATCCCCTGTGTGAACTGGCGAATCTAGAAGCTTGACGAGATTCAGATTCAATTATTTTGGCAAGAGTGTTTCATACATAATATTAATATCATGTCAAATATATTTTTAACAGCCTAATTGGTTTGGAAGCTATGACACTGCTTCCCACAAGTCTCTAATGAGTTTTAATTTATAACCAATATTGTAATATTGTAGAGACAACCCTTATAACCTACAATTTATGGGAGCACTATCATCTACTGAACCTGAACCAGAGTATATTATCACCTTTATGTTTCCACGTTAATTTCCTTTGCTGAGAAGTCGAAGTATTCTGCTGAAAATTGTTTGACAGACTTTCTAGGTATGGTTACCAATTGTTGAAATAAGGAGTAGCAATGTAGTAGCCTATTTTTTGTAGGCAACTGGTAACCACTGGTTTTTGAGCAGGGAAGTAATATGATGAAAATGTGCTTTAACGGAAGACATTACTATAAATACTTAAGATTTAAAGAAGGGCACGGATTGTGTATTTGAAAGTGATCTTATATAGAATTCTTTGCAGCTACAGAACCACCTCAATTGACAAGTACATCATGTGTTGTACTGCAGAGTGTTTGACAAGGCTTATAGACGGTGATTTTAATTTACTCCACAAAGTATCTAGAAAGAGGTGACTGCAAAGAACCAAGCAAGAGCATAAAATAATAATCGTATATACACACAGCAGCTGAAATGATTATTTAAATGTAAATTAGATCAAGTCAATATTCCACCTCAATTTCCAATGGCTTCTTTTCACACTTAGAATAACATCCAAAATTGGTGCTATGGCTGCTCCAGCACTACAATAAAGCCCTCTCTAGCCCTCTGATCTTATTTTCTACCACTTTCCTCGTCTCATTATGCTCCAAACTCCTCGCTCTGCCTAAAACATGGCAAGACTGTGCCTATCTGGGGCTTTTGCACTTGCTGTTCTTTACACTTGAAGATAATTTCTCCCCAAGTAGTCATAGTTCACTTCTGTACTTCATTTTTAAGCCTTTATTCAGTGTCACCTTCTCAGAGGCGCACCTGATTACCCTATATACAATAGCACCCCATCTTTCTCCTCCCTCTCCATCTCCTTACCCTGCTTTATTTTTTATTCTACAGGACATAAAATTATCTTGATTGTTTTTCCCCCCACTAGACTGTAAGTTCTATAACAGTAAAGACTTTTGTTCACTCCTCCAGCATCTAGTACATGCCTCCAAAATATTTGATTACATTTAATCAAGGTCATTTACTCCTTAAAGCTGGATTAGGCCTGCAAGTGGCTCATGCCTGTAATCTCCTTAAGGCCAGGAGTTCGAGACAGCCTGGGCAATAGTGAGACCCCCATCTCTACAAAAAAGTAGAAAAATTAGCAGGTATGATATGCGCCTGTAGACCCAGGTATTTGGAAGCTGAGACAGGAGGATCGCTTGAGCGCAAGAGGTTGAGGTTGCAGTGAGCTATGACAACACCACTGCACTCTAGCCTGGGCGACAGAGCAAAGACACTGGCTCAACAAAACAAAACAAAACAAACAAAACTCCTCTATTAAATAGGTAGTATTGCTATCCTCACTTCACAGTTTAGAGGAAACTATGGCATACAAAGGTTAAACAAGGACCTGGGAACAAACGGAGGGAAAACGAAGTCCGGATGTGACGAATGATTCCCAAAATTCTTTAATCAAAACAGTTGTCTGCTTTGTATGAAACAAGGGAAACCCAAACCATAGGCGAACACCAATTAAAATGTTGGGCACGCAGGAAAAAGGCAGATAGAACCGGTGGTGGGTAACTGAGTCTCTCCCCTAATGTCATGACCTTATGTTGCCCTCATAACAACCGCATGGGATAGACACGGCAGGTACGAGCAGGACTCCTTGACACCCAGGCTTCGCAGCAGGAGCAATGGCGTGTCCCACTCAGTACTCACAGGTTTGTATAGTTACATAATCAACACCCAGACCCCGGGGCTTCCTCCCGCCCCTGGACGGGGCTCACGTGCCTGGTCTCGCGACCGGAAGCAGCCCCCAAGAGACCCGCAGCGGTTGGCGAATCCAGGGATGACTTCCAGCGCGGGAGGTGGGGTGAGCGGTCCCCGTGAGTATTACGTAACGTGTGCGAGCGCACGGTGGGAGCGATAGGCCCGTCAGGGGAAATGGGTGTGTCCTGGCTTGCCGGCACCCCGCTGATTGGTCAGCAGGATGACGAACCCGTTTACAGTCGGCCCTACGGCAGTGGGATCGTGCGTCACCTCTGCGCAATTTGGGAGGGACGAAGGGGCGTGTCTGGCTGCTCAGGGAGCCAGCCCACTGGCTGGAAGGCGCCGGAGCCGGGCTGCTGGGCCGGCCTGATGAAGGCGGCGCCGCAGGCCTGGTCCCGGATGTAGCGACCGGCTTCTCTGAGACCGATCATGGCAGCTCGGACTGGTCAGAGGGCTCTGAGAAGGGTGGCTTCAGGATTGTGTCCGAAGTCGGCGACAGTGGCCGGAGCCCGGGCTCCGGCGCAGGAGTCTGCGCGGAAAGTCAGGTAATTAACAAAGGGTGCGCCCCGACGAAAGCAGTTTTCTACCCGGGCCTGTTGAGTTGGGGGACAGGAAGGATTTGGGGTGAGGCGGATGCGGACTCGGTGCGTTTCCGCGTCTCTGGAGAAGCGTCTTGTGCGTTCGACATTTGAAGAACTAAGATGCCTCGCGCATCACTCTGGGCCCGAAACTGTGTTCATGACTCGCTGACTTCGAGAAAGGCAGTGAATCATCGGCGAAGTGACTTTGGAAGCAACTCGGCCACCAGCTCTTCCGGTCTCCTCTCCTACGGCCTGTTGCTGCTTTTGGAATGTTTTAACTTTGAGCGGAAGGGTTGCCGGCTGCTGGGAGTATGGAGTTTGTGGCTTGGCGGTGAGCCCGGTTCCTGTTCCTCCTGCCTGCCAGATGGTCAGATGCTCTTTCCCAGTTTCTGATAAAGAATTGTCTGCCCCCGCCATTTGGTGCTTGCAAAACTGAATGTACCCAACGTAAGGGACCTGGATTTCTGTCTTTCTTTTTGCTTTCTTTTCTCTCTCTTCTTTGGTTCTCTTTTCTTTTTTTCTTTTTTTACTTCATTGTAATTTAGAGGTCCTGTAACCTTGAACCAGTGTCTGCCTTCCATTTTCCTGATTGGCTCCTTTTTGGTAGGTGGGAGTGGACATGGAGGTGGACATATGAAAGTAACAACCTTGCCAACTCCAAATCCTTTTAGACAAACATCGGGTGAAACTGAAATAAAATCATGTGTTGTTTACTCCTGCTTTAGGAAATAACCTCAAAAAGTAGTTGAAAGCGGAACATAACGTCATCTAACTTTACATCTGCTTGTATTTTATAAAATGTCAGCTTGCAAATAAAACTGTTACTTTTGAGAAAAATACACTTTAATGATCAAATTAAGGCTTAAATTCCAAGAAAATATCTACTGTTTGTGATAATGAGGGAGTTTATGAGTTCACGGCATTATCATAGATTCTGGCCTTTATTATAATTGAGTATTTGAGAGAGTAGTATTGAAAGATTAGTGATAAAAAAGCTCTCCTCCATGTGGTCCAGTATTCGTTTCATGGTTTAATGTTCATGTATATGAACGTTATGGCTCCTCATATTGTGGTTGAAGACAATATTGTTTTTATTTTTTATTTTTTTGAGACAGAGTCTCACTCTGTCACCGGGGCTTGAGTGCTGTGGTGTCAGCATAGCTCACAGCAACCTTAAACTCCTGGGCTTAGCTGATCCTCCTGCCTCAGCCTCCTGAGTCTACCCATGTGCGCACCACCATGCCCGGCTAATTTTTTTCTATTTTTAGTGACAGACGGGGTCTCACTCTTGCTTAGGCTGGTCTTGAACTTGTGACCTCAAGCAGTCCTCCCGCCTGGCCCTCCCAGAGTGCTGGGATTACAGGCGTAAACCAGCGTGCTCTACCTAAAACCGTATTCTTGATAGTGTGTGAAAATAGATACGCTGTCCAGGCTCTGTAACCATAGCATGCAAATTGATCAGAAAATCTATTAGTTTGCTTTAAACACAGACGTTTCCCTTAGAACTGTAGTAATCAAATTGTGTAAGGCTATTTTTTAGGGATTGGGAAACAATGTGAACCTAGTACAAAACCATATACAGGGAACAGTCAGCAGATACTGAATTCACCTCTTTAGAAGAAAGGGTCTTATATTTTTTTAAAATAAAGATTGACCTCAGAGAAGCTGCCTTTTCTGATACTGCGTTATCACAAAATTATAAATAACGACACATAGTATCTACCACATAGATGGCTTCCAATAATTGATAACGAGGTATCTATGGAATACAAAAGTGGAAAAAATAGATAAAACTGTTACAGTAAAAATATCTAAAGAATGTTTTAGAAGGGAAATACATGATTAGGCATTTTGTACACCATATTTAGTTTTTATAATCAATCTAACAGAGATCCTAAATTATTTTTTTGTGGCTTTTTTTTTTTTTTAAGGGGAAAGCTAAATTAACTGAGTATTTTGTTTCCACTGTTTGGCTTAATTTAGCAGAGACACTGAGGTTCACTTTTTTTTTTTTTTTTGAGACAGAGTCTCACTGTGTTGCCCCAGCTAGAGTGCCGTGGCGTCATCCTAGCTCACAGCAACCTCAAACTCCTGGGCTCAAG